GTTGGGATTTACGTGCACACACACCCTTTTCAAGCCGAAATTAAACAATAAAATGCGGTTGGTTCCAAAATTATTGTTTTAGGCTGAGATAATAAATACAATAGACTACGTACTTGATTACACGTAGAGAACCAATTCAATTTTAGAGGAACTTGATAGTTAAAGGAATTCTTTAATGGTTTAGATCACGATCGATCAAAGAGTCACGAATTCAATGTTTGTAATAACATTTAAGTGTAATTACGACTGTACCAATATTTTTATGCTTAATATTTTCGCCTCTGTGTTATACTTAACTGATAATATTCCAGATATAATATTATAGGTATTATTTAATAATAATTCTTTGAATGCATAAGATATCAAATTAAACAGAGGTTATCATATCCAGATAAGTGTTAAAGTCAATAATAATGACACATTACTGATAAACTGGACCGGCAAATCTTCAGTGTAGTATTTATTAAGTTTGTTAATACAGATTGTACTAATGACTGTTTCCATAACTAAGTCAAAATTAACACAGAAACATGTGTTTGTTTTGCAAACAACTTGAGAATTTTGTACAGCCGACAGGACGTCTGCCTGGATATTTTTTTTGCAAAATGGCATTTATTTATGACCCCACAAAGTTTAAATTCCATGTGCAACATTACATTTTTTTGTGATTTGCCAGTACATAAACAGACGATGGCCATGAAATAAGAGATAAACCTTGTTCAAAGCCATAAGGAAAAACAATTGCCATGCATGTTCTTAGTACATTAGTAGGCTGGCTTAGCAAATCCGGATGTGTGTCATTCTTCTCGTCATTGTTATCCATCACAACCTAGTCCATTTGCAAAGACAACCTCTTGAAAGTTTTTCTTATTGCCCAATTACTCATGTTTACTTGGATGACATTCTTATTTGTATGTTTGCTTGTTCCAGGTGGCGTTCGTAGTAGAACGATCATCGAAGGCAGAGCTCTGTCAGCTCAGTCAGTACAAACGGATAGCTTTAGTTATACGTCTGTGACCGATTGCGATAGAATGAACTGTTTGGGATCGCGCGAAACCGCTCAAAGTACCAAGTGACGATGATGTTGGAACACGTGGCTCTGATGCCCACGTGGTTTCTGATGGTGTGGCTCGGAGCCTGCATACTCTTCAGCCCTTTCGCGATATTCTTTGTGGTGTGCCTGCCCCAGTTGCCTCTCCTAGTCGTTAGGAGGGCTTGCCATATTCCATTCGAGTACATTTGATACTAGGATGCCGGGGTACAGCATAATAATGTGTAACATAGTGATATTATGATTCATTTTACTGTGTATAAGTGTAAATATTATTAAAATTATATTTTATATCTCATACAGTTGACTTTTTTGTACTCCTTGCTTGTTAGTTTTTTATCTGTTTACAATTAGCTGTAAGATTTCCAGTTAAACGTTGTTTACAATTCAATACTCGGTATCAACGTTGACTGCGTAATTAATAAATGAGTATGACTTTGTAGGTATAGACTTTACCCTATGAGACCGATATCATGGTTATTGAATAACACTGGGAGCAATTCAGAAGTTACTTACCAATTCTATGTGACCCGATAGTATGAACCTTTGCAAAATACAGCGGCTCTATTACCTCTACCGGGGCACGGTACGAAATGGAAATCGATATACCGAAAATTTTATTAGACGAGCAGAAATCGTTTATTTATTTAAGTAGATACCTTAATATCATAAATATTATTTTCCAAGGAAGCTTACCTGTAACTGTGGATTATGGATATAAATGTAAGAAGATACAATTTCGTAGAAAAAAAGAATTGTATCCGTTTCTGTAACAGACAATTCTATATTAAATTTATTTAGTGAGCAGTAGGCATTTGAAATAGGCAGTACTACAAACATTTTCACTAACACAAACTAAGACCTATCTCAGGATCTTTTGCATTTAAGAAACGATATTTTCATACAAAGCAAAGAATATTCTCGAACAAGCAATATCACTTTACCTTTTTAACCGATTCTCTGCGCACATTATGATAGTGTTTGTTCTAGGTACGTAAGTAGTATCTATACAGGGAGTATTGATAAATTCATTTTGATTATTTTAATTTTCATACAAATTGGATTTCATAAAAAAAATTGTATGAAAATTAAAAAAATTAAAATGATGATATCAAATTTCTGACTTCACCATACCATTTATATGACCACGTTAACATGAGTTAGTGTCGGCTCATATACCCATTTACCTAACACCCTGTAGATAGGTACAAAGTGTAGGAACAACTGGCCATCGAAAACTCCAGAAGCATTCTACTTGCTACAATTACAACATAGACACTATGTCAGTTTTGCAAGTTTTGTACACAAGTTATTGTGTGTCACGACTCACGTCTTAGGTTCTCTCGTACTAAGTAGCAATGAGCCTAAACCAGATTCGAAAAATAACTGGCTACATAATTGGATAAGTTAAATGTACCAATGGGTAGGTTCATACCTACTTCATAAGTAAGTACTAAAAATACTGAAGTATAGTATTATGTCTACATAATTTAAATAGAGTCCTTAGACCGCGATGAGCCTTAAATTTTTCTAGAATATCAAACTAAATAGGGCGAAGAATGGTAATTTTGCACATAGTATATTCTCTATCTTTTTAATATAGTAACTGTATTACAGATCACGTCTTGGTCATTTTGCATTAATTAACTTCTATATTCATTTTACAACTGAATAACTATTGTTGGTACTTAGTGCCAATAACTGTTTAATAAATAACTATGAGTATCTACTCGTATTATATCAGTAACCTACTTATTGTCTTGATGAATTCAGTCAAGTGGTATCTCTTGAGTCAGTATAAATAACATGTTTCTATTGACACTTGTTATAGTGTCAATGGCTCCTTTTGAAACAATTAATGGAGTTACTGGAGTGGTGGTTAATAAACTGGGCTTAAAATAGAATGCCCTGGGATCCCTTCAAGTACCGTTTTGTTTTCAGGTCGGATCAAAGTTATATCGAAACTGAATAAATGTATTTAGTTAGGAGGGCTTTTATTACCCGGCTATTAAGTTATAGTATGTTTCAAATAGTTTCAATCCAACCAGAAAGAAACTACATAATTATTCTACTGAAAAATGTGTTTAATGACACCTCTCGACGCAAGATAGGTTGCAGTTAAAAAAAGTCATTTTCTACTACAAAACCTGAAAATATTTACTAAAAGTTTAGTTTTGCTATTTTAAAATGTTGTCCCTTACATTCCTTGAGACCTTCAACTTGGTTCGAAAATATAAAATCACATTTAATGAGGGCTATCGTTTTTATACTTAACAGTTGGCACCCCTGGCGATTGACAGGACCTTACTCTACAGTGGCGCCATCTTGATGAGTGCAAATGCGATAGTCCTCCTACCACTTTAGCGCTCACCAGTTGGCGCCACTGTCTTCGCTACTAGCAAGTGACAAGACCTTACTCTACAGTGGCGCTAACTGGTAAGCGCTAAAACGATAGCCTTCATTACAAACTCTATTCTAAAATGCAGTTTATGTAAATAATATTTTGGATAAATATTACCTATTTAGCTTAGTGAAGCTTTACAATTTGGACCATTTTAAATGATGCGTAGTAGTAGCGTTACGAATGCAAAGGATGCAATGACGTTAGTGCATCCAAACATGAAACAAGTTATGTTTGATAAAATCTGAAATATCTCGTGAAAATAAAAGCTTCTGTGAGTTTAAGAGATTGGGAGTAGACCATAACCGCGAGCAATTTCTTAAATTACCACAAATTGATATTTCTAAATTAATAATTACTAAACACGTTTTAATTAAAGAATTGTTAATTTAAAACGAATAAAAATTGTAATTACTTGATTGATTATGAAATTAAATAATAATAAAAGCTAATGTTCCTTGTGGCGCCATCTAGCGCCCCTGCTCAGATTAAAAACGTCGGATTGTAGAGACTACTTCACAAGTTGCGTTATATCGCAACTCTACACAGTTCTTGGCTGGCTTACAATCCATCCAAGAAGTTTCTGAACATAGCGTCTAGATGTCATTATCTAAGATTCAGTGGCAGGACAACATTTCAGTAAACAGGTTTACCCGAATGCGAAAAGGTAAGTAATGTGTTTTTGTTATTAACTATCAATTTTTAGATAATGGCTTGGTAATTGATGACAACGATTTTTTTATGCCATGGACAAAAAATATTGAAGTATATGTCCGACGGGCTTCTCATTTTACTCGTCCTGAAAAAAGAAAATTACCAGTTCAGCAGAATTTTTCATCTATCCTACTCCGCTATGTGACTCACATCAGATTATTAAGGTCTTGATATATTAATTAAATAATTATTTTGTATTGGTTTCGTCAAATCAAATCAATTTGGGTAAACGTTGGGTTTTTCAGTGTTTCGTCAGATAAAACGTCTGAAATTAAAGGAAAAAGAAATTTATGCTAAATAATTAAAACAAAGAACCACAACCTTACAAGGTAAATCCTTACTCTTAATAATATCATATACGAGTCAAGGCAATTCGAAGAAATTAAAAACACCTTTCACTAGGACGTGATCTGTGACTCATCCAACTGTACCTCTAGTACGAAAAACTTTCGAGTTCGTTTCGTTTGCGTATTCAAAGTGTCATCGAAAAATTTTGTATGAAAAATTAAACAGCGCCCCCTATATTATAGCCGCCCTAGGGGGCGCTGTTTAATTTTTCATACAAAATTTTTCGATGACACTTTGAATACGCAACGAAACGAACTCGAAAGTTTTTCGTACTAGAGGTACTGATCAGAAAAAAAGGAAACTCATATAATTAAGTCCGATACACATTGCAAGCTGTGTAAAAATAGTTCTACTGGTATAATAGGTACCTAGGTAATTAAAAATACCCAGGTGGTACTGTAGAAGGCTGTAATATATATCCAGCGAATGTCATACACCGTGTGACCTGCCTAAATGATCTAATTATATGTTCTATACCTTAGAAGCTTATCAGTTGGTGGGACAAAGTACGGGTCCATTGCATTCGCCAGCAAGGACGCGGTCGGAGATGTAGAGACGCTGGATATGGCGGTATTTTGGTAAGCTTAAGTACTATCAACAGCACATCAGAGGCTGAGTGTGAGTTGAGTGAGCGCGTTAAAAAAATATCATCATCAACAGCCCTTTACAGTCCACTGCTGGACTATGAGCCTCCTCCACTATAGTGGAGGGTTTTGCCATAATCTCCACGCTTGGCAGGCGGGTTGGAGATCGCAGTTTAAAAGATTGATGTTTTTCAGAGAGCGCTGCTGCCCATTCTCTGTTTGATGTGTAGTCCCTAAGTCGCCTCTTACGACACCCGCGGGTGTCGTAAGCCGTGTGGTGACGGCAGAGTAGAATACATTTGTCACCAACCCCTACTAAAAAAATATATTATTATGAAAATTTTCGTTCTTGAAAGTTTCCGCTAGGGGCGCTGTACAACCCGTTTTTTACGCTCTCACTAGTGACGACGTTTGATGTAAACTCACACTATGCCCTCAGACTCTTGTAAAATAGCACCTATTACAAATTGCCTAAGATGCCATTGTGTTAGCTCGATGTGCTGTCGTCTGTTAAATATCGAGTTTTTTTTCAGACAGTAGTATGACTATTATTATTAAGTCTTTTTTGAAACACACTTTATAAATACTTACTAATCATAAATTTTGTGTTACCTTAGAGAACAGTATTATAAAATGCATCTCTACACTTACTATACAGGGTGTTAGGTAAATAGGTATGAGCCGACACTAGCCCATGTTAACATATGCATATAAATGGTATGGTGAAGTCAGAAAATTGATATCATCATTTTAATTATTTTAATTTTCATACAAATCAGATTCTTAAAATTTTATTTTGTATGAACATTTAAAAAATTAAAATGATGATATCAAATTTCTGACTTCAGCATACCATTTATATGCATATGTTAACATGGGCTAGTGTCGGCTCATATACCCATTTACCTAACACCCTGTATAGCTATTATAGGTAAGGTTTTTGCTGGGGCTTTTTGCTATGTTTATTTCATGTTTTGGCGTCGTTACGGAATACAAAGTAAAAATATGTTCTAATGTCTAAGGTCTATTTTATTAGATTGTAAATAATAAAATGATTATTTATTTATTATGTATCAAAGGTAATTCTACATATACGAACGCAGTTTATGACACACACTTCGCAATACTTTTTTGCAGTACCTACTAGTACTTAACGTTGACAGTTTTAGGTCACAATGTATTAAAATCATCGTTAATATACATTTAAATCAAACTTCGCTTACGAAAAATGTGAACAATACATTATATTAAACCAGGAAAACCAGTAATTGAATCATAAAACTGTCACTTCTAGGCGCAGTACATGAATGGCGGCAAGTTACATGCGCGAGCGCAACCACCAGCGCGCCACTCTACAACCACTCTCCGACCCCGCAACATGGCGGCTTTGCCTCTGCCCGTGCGCGTGAGTACAGCCTTATTCATTAAACACTTCATTAACAACCTCTTGCGAAACCACTCAATCATCTGTTTCACCACATATCGCAATATGTCTACGTCTATCCATCTAGACGCCATTGTCATGGGGTTCTCGCATGTTGGCGCGCTCTGACCGTCGCATGTTTACTAATAGTTTTCATTTGTTTATGACGAGATGAAGGGAAAATTGTTTTAGGGATAATCTTACGAACATGGTGCGAAGGTGTTAACTTAAAAAATTAGCCAAAGTAACTTACTTGACTCTTTTTCTAACAATGTTTATTCTAATGCTCTTGGACACTGGCAAGATAGTAAATAGCACAAAAATCAAGTGTAGGTACCTAAATGGCAGACACTTCACGGGTGTTCCGTTGTTCTGTCGTTAGTCACGGTATTATATCGCTGTCAGAGGACTTTTATCTACAAAACTATTGATTTAGTTATTTTGGGTTAACTGTTAACTTTAAATGCATAAGACATTAAAATACTTTAACCCAATTCGTAATCAATTTTACTGTGATAATGACCTTGATATCGATTAATTTCATACACTCTATACACCCAAACTATTAAGTAATTTGAGCCTAAACACTTAGTCTGAGTTGCACCACCTTAATTTAACCGTAACAATAACAATAACCGGTGATTTTTGTATGGTATTTGACAGGTTTTTGACGTTTGTCAAATTTAAAGTAAGACGGTGCATCTCAGCCTTACTAACCATTTGATCCAGATAGTTAATTAATTGGTTATAAATGATCCATAGATACGCAATACTCAACCTGCTCTTATTTTAATTGTTTAACATTGTAAAGTTGTTAGATCATACATAGAGCAACAAACAGCGCAAATAAAGTGTATCTAACGCCCGTATTCACAAACACTACTATGAGGTCTCACAGTGCGCGTAGACGCACAAGGTGACACATGAACCAATCACAGAGCTCTATTCAATGCTGTGCGTTCGATTTGCTGCTTCACATAAGCAAGCATCGTTTGTGAATACGGGCGTACCTGGCGTACACACGTCATTCATTTCTTAATATTTTATGCACATATTGGTATCTGCCATGGCGTTTGCTGATAAGTACCGGTACCTCTGAGTCAGACCCACTCTTGAAAACCATGAAGTAGCATACAATAGTGACAAATTGACACTAGTGACACTATTGAATTGCGTTTCGACAATACCTGCTGCGATCCGCACTGTTGCCCGCTCGTTTTCTATTCATAAAGCATGTTGCAGTAATAGTCAATAAATAATATAACTTACAAACTCTATGCCAATATTATTCTTCGCTAATAAAACTGCCTTACAAGACATACTTATTGTTATTACCAACTTGAAATAATACCGAAATGCACATAAAGTTTTTAGTTTATTATTGTAGTATTATGTAATAAGTTTTCGGTACGACACAGGCAGGGTTACTAATAAAATTACTATACTGTTTTTTATTTTCTTCTTTATTTTATAGTAAGTTAATATAAATAAATAGATTTGACTCTATAAAGATATCAAATTAGAACCGTAAGCTACATAATCTACATAATGCTGCTGAAAAACTTGCCTGAAATGTACAGAATTATGTTTTTTATGCAAACAGTAAGTTGGTTATGATCTGAAAGGTCGTAGCAAGATAAAGATGTCACATACAAATATGTATAGTACAATACAACATCTTTAGAATTATTTAAAATTGTTAAACAATATCCTCAAATTCTAGGTTCATTGCTAAAACCTACTCAGTATTTCATGTCTAGCTTGGCCCTTAACCTCATTATAAATACCCTCACGTATTTATATTCTAAGTAAGCTCTTGTTTACACACAATAAGGCTTTCTACAGACGTCTTCGCGCATAGGGCGACGACAGACCTTTCAATTCACCTATAGGCGCCGGCGCAGGGTCACTGAACTCGTCTGCTTTGATAGGGAATGCACAATGATGCGACTACGTGCAAATGTTGCATCGTATCTCTTTCTTTCACTTCACTTCTCCGTGATTCGCCTTTAAATATCACAGTAAAATACCTAGGTCCTTTATTGAGTAAGGTTCGGAATTAACTAAACCATTTCTCAAGCCACAAGTGATGAAACTGCAAATATGAGCCGCAATTTTTCAAAAAATGAATTTAAACTTTTAAGTTAATCTGATTTCAACTAATTTAAAATGTAACTATTAGTAAATTAAGTAAGTGATTTTTTTAAATCAGGCTGGTAAAAAAGCTCTAAAATATTAAAGAAAAAAGTATTTAAAAGCTACCTCAAAAATATTCGAGGCCTAATTAAGTGTCAACCTTTGCTCATGAACTTTTCAAGTTGTAAGACCTTTTGGTTTCTTAAAAATATGAACCACACAAATTACTAGAGATTTTAAATTTCAGTGATCTTTTTAAATGAGCTTTTTTGTAATGCGCAGTATTATGTGTAAAATATTGTTATGATTTTAAATCGCCACTCTTTCGATTCATATGAATAAATTACTGTCAGAATTGTACTGTTTTTGTAAAAGTTATTTTAATGTAAACCTCTGAAAAATTCGCAACATCGTAATGTTGCTGGATATAAATTCAACTCTTTAAGACGCCTCTCCATAATTTTATACAAAATACGAGTAGTAGATGCATTCGGCATTATTAAATTGGTATAATAATGCATTGTAAACTATCAAATTATTAGTATAGGTACCGGGCATCGAAAAAGCAAATTGAATAGTTTTGACATTGACTGGCGAATTTTTGGTAGGCGGTAGCCAACTTGAAAGATCTAGTCAAGAGCCTAACTCAGCGTATTTTAATTAGACTGTTTATTGACTTGATCAACGACCTCACTTATTAGTATTGTATCATTTCTTAGACCTTGGGAGCAGGAGCGCCGGAACGCGCGGCCATGCGGCGCCGGCGCCGTTTCCGGGTCCGGCACAGCCTACGAGCGCTCTGTCAATAGTTCCACGAAGTTGATCATGATTTCACGGCTTCCATGACCCCTGTATTGTGTCAATGCTGAGAATAATCATTGACCGAGGTGCAGTGGCCTTCCCTCGCTGTGCACTTAATAGTGTGAAATTAATTACTACACAATTAAGAGCTTGTTTAACTAACATCGAAAGAATTTCATGTCAGCGCGATATAACATCTCGATCGTCATCGGATTGATCGCAATATCAAACAATCGTAGTGGAAATAAAGATTATAAAAATAGTAATATGGAAACAGTGTTGAAAACATGTATTTCTTTTTGAAAAACGATTCGAAAGTCCCAAAGAAGAATAATCAACTGGATTTTTGTTCAGCGTAGGTATTTTGTACGAGTTCCAAGTAATACAAAGAAAAATTATATTATAGTCCATCCCTAAAAATCAACATGAATCCGCCAACTTATGAACAGGATTTTAACCTAGGAGTTAGTGATAGCTTCTTATTACTTTTAACTTTATTTTTAAAGTTACAGTACACAATACCACATATTATCAGGTGTGCGGCTTAGTTGCAGTAGATACGAGATAAATGGCCGTCAACGTTAAACAAAGACACCAACAACGTGTCAGTCGTTTTGTGCCAAACGACTTTTTAAGCATTAATATGACTTATGCCTCTCGGTTCGACACACCCTGACCTAATGCTTTGTATGTAGCCATATTTCGCAAGCACCACGTGCGGGCTTATGTGAATAAACACTCAGCCGAGCATTTGTGGACTCTATTGCCCAAAATTTAAGCTTTAAAATATAGTTTGGTTTTGACTCATGGGAGTGGGTGCACTATTGAACCAGGCTGTCACGAGCGTATGAATAAAATTGCGCTCGCAAGCATTAACCTACATGATATATGACAGTGATTTCGGCTTTAAGCTAATTAAGCCACGCAGTCAAATGGGCGGGATCCTGTGAACGTTAAGTATCTGCATCCTTCCAAACTAAAGTGCACAAACTGTAGGTAACACAGAGTTTTCATAGTCGACAACAGTTATTCCTTCCTAAGTCCTACAACCTAAAAGACATGCACTTATATAAATGAAGATATGCCCTATGGTGCACCATAGGCGGCTCCAGGTAACATCTCACCTTTGGGTGAGACTGTGATCAGGAGCCAGTGCAATCAATTTAAAAACTTAATGCATTCTCAATTTTAAAATTCCTAGGTTAAAAATAATAATACGAACTTGCAACTGTCTATACATTACCTAATTGCGCTGGCTGTTGTATCTTAAAAAATGCCTTAATTAACAATCGCCATATGGGTTCATTAATCCGAATATTTTCAACACGGGCGCAAAAAATACTTTAAAACTTAACATTAATTGCTGTAGAAAATTTGGGTCAGTAAACGTTGTAGGTAATACTATAGTATATTAAATTCATAGATATGTAATAGTGGGTTATAGTAAATACTGGACAGCTAAACATTCGCGTTCAAGGCAATTGCTAATTGCTCTCTTTGCAGTCGGCACTTAATGTTAATCTTAGAACTTGTTTCCGATGTGATGTAGGGAAAAATATCAGATAAGTATAGGTTGCATTACAATGTCATACTTACTTAATTAGGTTCTCTCTTAAGTAAATAAGATCAGTATGAGGGAAGATCAATCCATGTAGCATAATCTACTTTTTGTATAGTTTCCAAATGCACTCGAGGTTTGTTTCCTAAAGTAGATTATAAGACCCAAAACTCGTCTCTCGTACGAGTATCTAGAGGTTAAATCCTATTGAGTACTTGTACGTCACTAACTTATAAACTGTTTTAGTTGTGATTTGATGAGTTGGTACGTTTTCCTGGAGTCATTTCGCACCTCGAATGATTCGGTCCGCGCAGTGTTATTGGGGGCTACTTGATATAAAAAAACCTGATTATACTACTTTTTATAATTTGGTCTTACAACAATATTCATAATCCTATTATTGTCATGTGAGGGCGCCCACGAATTACTCGTACATGCTTGGAATGCGGCAGTAGTCCAGTGTCACGAGCAATAGAGTTAGACAGGTCTCAAACTAGATAAAATCTTACTTAATCGGTGGTTGATTCTTTAAGTTCATATAATTTTCTTTCTTTTCAGTTTCTATGCCTCTTGGTGGCAGGGGTGCTAGCAGATCCAAGCCCCGGCCGCGTGCCCAAAGTGTATAACGCGCTCATCACTTCAAACCAGAATTTGGAGCCCAGCAAGGCGTACCCGGTCTACCAACCAGTGCTGCACGACGCATTCACGTTCCCATACCAACCAGCTGTCTTCTACAGAGATTTTCCGTTGACTAACGTGAGTATTTTAAAAACTACATAGGACTTAATCGTGGCATGGTGTGGCATATTTTTCACCAGTTTAGTTTGTCACTTATGCTAGGTATCCAACTATGCCTCTGAATAGTTTTTACATTAAATCGACGTAGAATACATTTGTCACCAACCCCTACTCTTCCTTTACACACCAAACAAAGAACGGGTAGCAGGCAGCGCTCTCTGAAAAACATCAATCTTTTAAACTGCGATCTCCATCCCGCCTACCAATCGTGGGGATTATGGAAAAACACTCCACTATTAGTGGAGGAGGCTCGTAGTCCAGCAGTGAACTGTAAAGGGCTGTTGATGCTGATAATGATGACTGTACTGTTACTTCAGTTATTACAAACTTATAACCCACACAATTGAAGAAGAAGAAGAACCTAGTAGAGTTTGGAAAATAAACCTATAACCGAGCATCTATGATACAGAATTATTAAAAATCTAGTTCTTTTTATTTCAGACTTAAAAATCCATAGAAGGTACTACTTATTAAAGTGTAGTATTTGATTAAAATTATTATTTTGATACCAAATCCGAAGGTTATAGTGGAGCATCATAATAATACAAACAATTTGAAATTTCCAGGGGATACAACCAGTGCCTGCGGCGCCGTCTAAAGATGCGAAACCAGTTGCGCCCGCAGCGCCGGAGCCGGCGCCCCAGGAGCCCCCGGAACAGAAGCCCCCCGCCGAGGAGAGCCCGGCGCCCAGCTCTCCCCCTAGCCACGAACCCACCCCTGCCCCGCCGCTTTCACCCAACACCCAGTCTCCCATACCTTTAAATCAATTCGGACTTCCACCGCAAGTTCTCCCTTTAGGACGTTTCGATCCAGCTTACAGTGGATTCACACAAGTTGGACCTTTCACATACACCTACCCCAATATTCGATTCTACGACCCATACGACCCCTTTTCTTTCAGTAGTTACAGTCCTTATGCCTTGCCGTCCTTGTACAGGCCTCTGGGAAATGTCCTGGAGCAAGGGGGGCCAGAACCTTCGGGCAAGGAAACTCTGTCCTCAGCAAGAGGACCTGCACCACAACAGCCACAAGCCCCACCTTCTGAGCCCAGTGATCTCAATGTATTGAACTATTCCTCAAAGGACCCTGCCATACCCAATGTCCCGCCCCCACCCTTGCCGGACGGAGGTCTGAAATCTGATGATAAGTCCGAATAGTTTCGTAATAGAGTCGTAATTTCTAAAATACATTAAACTAACATTTATGGGTTTTATTGAACATTAAAAAAAAAAAGCGTATCACTTTCCAAGTTATTATATAAAAAGAAAAAGAAATGCGTTTATGTTCCTTCTTTATTTACTTGTACCTATTCACATCTAGGTATAAATGTACCTATGTGTTTCTTAAAACATTTTCAGTGTAGGTATAAAATATTTTTTACAAGACATCATAAAAGTCTATCTCCCAATTGAGCTCTTTAGTTAATTCCAAAGGTATATACCACTCGAAGTAGTAATAATCAAAAAATTGGTTAATGAGATAATAGTAGCTAACTCTACAGATACATATTGTGAATTTTTGGGAATCATACTTTACGTTCTCGTCATAAGGAGACGTCGACTTGATATAAACACAGTCAGGTTCGCTTGAAACACTTAACCAATCCTGAAAATAATAAAATTATTTAATACTTTGTATAATGCAATGTTTGATTACTTATACCTATTCCATCGAAATAACCTTTTTAACTAGATTTTTTGAGTAAAATTTAATGAAAAAAGCTGTGAGTGTAAGTAGGTACAATGTTTCATATTGACAACATATTTTCACCTCAACAACCTTACGTATGAAATATAATACGTAATTAATTATTGCTAAAGCACATTAATCTAAGCCAGCGGTTCCCGAATGGTGGTCCGCGGAACCTTGGGGTTCCGTGGAAAGGCCGCGAGGGTTCTGTAAAAAATATCATCCCACGTTTCGTGACCGACGTTGTTCGCTCGCACCGACTTGTTTACGCACAAGGGAGGGGCAGGGCGTGCGGGCGGAGTAGTACGGGGGTTCCGCTAGGAAAAGTATAATCAATTAGGGTTCCTTGGCAAAAAAAAATTGGGAAACCCTGATCTAAGCGTCAATAGTAGGTAATAGGTGAATTTTACAACTGAAATTTCTGATGTCTTGCTTTTATTTACTACATTGGTTTGATCACCCACAAATGGGACACCTGTATAGATGTTATACAATATTACCCTATTTTCTTCAGTGGCTGGTTTAAATAAAACTTACCCCTATAAGAAGCTTTCCTTTTAAGTCTTCATATTTGTAATAAAACCTTGCCACAAGCTCTTTGTCAGGCGTAGCGCATTTGCCAAAATAATATTCGTTATGAACGTCACCTTAAATTGAAAAACACATAATAATATCTCAGAAATAATATGTATATGTAAAAAGTTATCCGATATTATTATTAAAGACACTTTATTTTACATTTTTCTATATCTAGCCACATAAATTAACAAAAACAAAAGTTCAAACTTAAATAGGTATGCAATATGTTTGAGCTAAATTCTGTGAGAATTGTTATATTGCTTACCTTGTGTAGCATCCATATTGGTAAAAACAATACCTCCAAGCGCAGTATGACTTTGATAACTTTGTACCATTGGAGCTGTAATTTTTTATATACATTTTTACTTATATGTACCTATGATAGTTATATTAACTATTAGTTATGGCATAGCCAATTACCCGAAAATAAATTCAATGTAAAATGTAATAAGCAAAATAATTTAAATCCCATTTTTTCAGTCTCCTACAAAACAAACGTGTGTTTAGTAGCAAGGATAGGAAATACAATCGCGTCAAATATCATCACAATGCCAATTTATCGACAGTTAAACTGTTATTTGTTTCTTTATAACTTTGAGTAAACTCCCCGGTTGGTGTGTCCTGCAGAGTTAAATACAACATCCAGCAGTTATGTTTTTCTTTTTATTTAACAAATGATGGCAAATCCATTTCTGTATTTCTGTAAAATGAAGTGAAATACACGATACTTGAGCTGATATCTTAAAATTAATATTTTTATTTGTTAATGAGCTCATCCAGTAAAATGTATCTTGTATTTTGGATTTTATGATTAGGTATGTCAATGTGCTATCGGTAATTAAAAAATACATCAGTGAAGCGGCCAGTGAGCTATCCCGGTATAAATATTAAAAGTTCATCCATAGTTCATCGTGAAATTAAGTTTTTAAAATAGGTGTTCTTAATAACCTTCCTTTTAAAAGTTAGCGTGTACGTACAGGCATGATAATGGTCGTTTTAAAGGAATTATTTTTGTTTTAATTATTTGATCTTTAACGTATCAACAGTAGCGCCCATGACTTGCTAAATGAAATAGACACGTAATACAATGGCGATAGTACTTGGCACTACAATGTTTACTTAGTTAAAAGCTGCAATCAGATTTCAGCTTGAGATAAGCTTCGTACTTCATGTTCATCCGCAGCCTGTCATATCGGAAAATTAATGAACATTCAACGATATCATATCAAACGTTTCAACGTCAGGTGATATACGAGATCGAGGATCAACCACACAGGTTGATGCCGTTTTATTAATCAAATTATATTGTAACCCACATAGCCAGGAACAAAAGAGTTCAGAAATTCTTCTAACGTCGACATACTCGCTATTTAAAGAAGTGAAGACACATGACTATTAATTTACAAAACCAAGAAAAGAAAGAAAGAATAAAAGAAAAATATATTTATTTGCTAACAGACCTAGATATTTTGTAGGTACCTACATAAAAAAACTAAAACTATTCCACTAGGTACCGGCTCCAAAATGGCAACTGCTCAGTGACAGCATTCTTCGAGCATATCCCATCTTTTTACCCCTTGTTAGCCCAGTCAATTTAAGTAGGTAAGTGTGATGATTTATTGCCAAATTTGAGTACTAGGACCATAGAAGTATATATCCCAGTCCATGCCACCAATCATGTCCATTGGTATGTACCATTCGTAATAGAAGTACTTGAAGCGCCTCCTAGAGTGGCAGTACGTGATCCTGGGGACGCAGATCTGGAAGTTGTACGCCGTAGATCGGAACAGATCGTATTCGTACGACATCGCTCTTAGTAGAATGCAGACAGGAATTCTTAATGTTTCTATCCAGCCCTGGAAAAGATAGAACACACTGGTTAAAAGTTGTTGAGAATAAAGAAATGTTATACGTCTCTACCTATATCTCGAACTAAGATTTAAGATACATATTGATCTCTTTTAGATATAAACTTCTGAACGTTAATTATGAACCGATTTGTTCGAGCAACGAATATAACGGGGAATATTTCCATATTTTCTCATTAACTTAAATATTTATCTACTACTTACCCTAACAATAAGTTTCCCTAGAACCTGCATATGATCTATATGTACGTGGGTATAAAATATAATGTCTTTCCGGTTGCAATCCCCATAGATATATTCGCTGTGGATATGCTCTGAAAAAAAAAAATAGGTAGGTAGGTACAATACATTTTAGGAAAACTGCCAACGGCATTAATTTAGGTAGGTATTATGAAACTAAGTCCGAGACTCCATTCAACCTCATAACTCTACTCCGCTTAACTACATCTTAAAGAGTACAAACATCCATCTGCCCATCCTCACACACTTTCATTTTAATATTATTAATAGGAATACGAACAGTAGGAAGTAGGATTAAATTCAGATGAATAGACTCAGTACAATAGATCGTAGTGGACACCCATATTAACTATCTGGTTAATTACTATTTGTATTAGGTACTTACTTGGTTCCAACTTGGTGCCATACATGACTAAATCTTTGAACTCTGTGAAGTATTGCCAAGCAGATGTAGGTGTTGCTGCAATGACAATAAAATCCATTTATATAAAAAACATAATTAAATAAAAATAACAAGCACAGCCACAAAAATCAAATGTCTCACCCAAAACAACTAAACTTAAAATAATTAGACAATTCATTTTTAATTGAATTATCGACTCTCAATTCAATTGAACAGTCTCTAACCACACAATTTACTGTATAGTTTAAAGCCAATAGACCGCTATTTATTATAATTTTAGTTTACTATGTCACCAGCTAGTTTACAAAACAAACAAGAAAGAAGCTATAAATAAATAATGTTCTGCAAGTCGCGTAAGACTTTGTTTTGATTAGAATAAGTAGTCATAATTAAACAAAATGTAAAAACAGTTTGTACATTTCTCGATTAACAAGCAGCCTGTATCAACGTAGAGAATCATAGCAAGCGTAGCGGTATGGAATAAAATTGTGAAACAGTTTGCGTTCAGCTGTGGATAGCATGCGTATCTATTTGTTGTTTCGACGCTATGGTTTTTCGTGGCTTAAAGTTTTCTCTGTGTTTTATTGCAGCTGTATCAATAAAATTCTGTGTTCAGGTAAATTTTATGTAATCTATGCGTAGAAATCTGTAAATAAAAAAATATTGTAGGGTTTTTTTTACGTATAAATCACTATTTTTACTAAATGCACATGAAACTTTAAAAGCTATCAGTTATTAAAACAAAAACATTTTCTTTAAACTGTTTTGTCTGTCTCCCATTTCGAATCTCCGAATCGACTCTATCGATTTTGATAAGATTTATTTGAAAGTGTAGGATAATGGAATGAGGAAATTAATCTCAAACATTGTATCTAATGATGACTTTGTGTTTTGTCCGAACAGTACTGCCCGGAAGAAATTTCCAGTTCAGGAATAAAGGTGACGTGGCATCAGTCCCCTCAAGCAAGCAATGTCGAATCTGATCCACTGTGCTTCTATAACGAGACATTAGTCACAAGAAACTGCATAAATAATACGTGGGTGCCGTCTCTTACAGAATTGCAGCCCTGTTATAAAGCTGTAAAATATTTTGATCCATCAACATGCCCCCCAGGTTTCAACAAAATCTCCGAAACTTACAATAAATATTGCTACAAAATTGGTAAACCTTCACCATGGAACTATCCGTGTTTCAAAAGTGGGGGTGCAACAGTTATAAATGAACTAAGCCTCAATAAAACAGAAACCCTATTAAGTTTTCTAAATGCCACAAAGTATAGACATTTTTGGCTGCCGGCCCAACGTCAAAATGTATTTGCTCCCATAAAGTGGTCCATACCTGGGCCTAATTGGGGGCGTGTTATAACTGCTACTGATACGTTTCCATTAAAACCAAGTCTATTTAAAAATTGTTTGCTATTGGACGTAGAGGAAAGAACTTTAATAACTGATACTTGCACTAAAGAATATCCGAGTCTATGCTTTTATATTAATGACTTTCATTGCCCTGCTAAATGTCCTGATAATTACCACGCCTTCCGATATATGCTCGATGATGGCAAATGTTATGGAATTAAGAATTCATTAACTGATTTAAGCTTTAGTGATTTTCTAAATGGCACATGTGAAAAGCCCATGGGAAGTGGCCAACATAATGAGCTAAGACGATTTATTTACAGTAAAATTGCTGAAGTTAGTAATCATTCCAAAAATACATGGTGTTGGTTTGGAGACCCAAATAGCGAGATTATAGAAGTCAAAAATAGAATTTTAGAAAATTCAAATAGAATAAATACAGTAGAAACCAACAATTCGCCATCAAATCTAGCTATAGTAATTAATAATATGGGAACTGTAGGATTGATGGACTCGTATGCTAGATTGTCGTGTATGGCATGTGAGGCAAACATGATATACGGTGAAACGGAATTAGTATTCGAATACTCTCAAGAAGAAAATAGTATTTATTTGACTATATATTTTCCATCTGGTCTATGGAGATACGACGATAATGACATAGGTGTACAATGCTTCTCAGATGCTAAAGGATTTTCTGGAGTGATAGTTGTGAATAACTTACCTACTCAAGTGGAGGCCATGAAACTGTTTCGTTCTTCACAAATAACAACAAATATAGAAAAAGTTGTATACGTTATAGATTTAGTTACTGATAGATCTGCTCGGTACTGGTGTGAAGGGCACACAAAAAATTTTTCATTGATAACTACCGAAAAAATTGTAGTTAATCCCCAAGGGAACCAAGTTCATGTGTTTTCTCTAGTTTTAAACACATTTGTTCATATGAGTGAATCTAATAATAATCTGTTTAATTTAACCGATTTAAGCGAAAATATATCTTCGATATTTCAAGCAGAGAAGGCTTTAGTGATGGATATTTTAGACTACAATATGGAGAGAATTCAGATATTAATGCATTTGCACGTAAAAATAAATGACACTGGTAGATCTCAAGCAGCGAATTTGCAAGAGACATTTAATTTTCTTCTCAAAAGGGCGTTTGCTGAATTTCCCCATCACAATTTTACTTTTATTAATATGTCTAGTTCAGTATTTTGCTTACCAACTACTTCTTTGGATCCAGTACTACTTGATTGGGACTTAACTCCCATTGGTCACATGGCAGCTCCTCAACAATTCTGCCTCCAATCAAATGGATTACCTGTCAATAGAGCATGCCGGGGATCTTATCTTCTAGGAAGTTTTTGGGGACAAATCAATGGCCAGTGTGACTACAGCTACAAACCTTCGAGTACAACTACATTTTTATTCAATTTTATAAGTGGAAGGATTGAAAATAATTACTACACATCAAAGTTCCTCACTGATGGTTTAAATTATGTACTGAAAGATGTTGAAATCATTATTCCAGCTGATATTTACTATTTGTCTTTATGTTTCCAATATATTTTACAAGTCACTCAAAAAAATGAAACATCTATAGAGACGGGGGATATTGAAAACATTGCTTGGGTAATGGATAGAATGATGAATATTGATAATAGCAGTCTTCATTTAGCTCAAATTATGAATTCAACCAACGTAATTTTAGATTCAGTCAATAATATAATTGAAGTTATAACAATAACAAATAAAACTTCTGACGGTGTAAAATTAAAAGAAAATATTTATCAGCTAGCAATTCAGCCCCGGTTTATTGTACAAATATCATATCCGCATTTAAATAATGTAACTGGAATAGCGGTGATAAATAGTAAAAATTCCAATAACTTTACAGATATGTACATCCAGCCGTTGTATAAAAACACAACAATGAATGATGTTCTCATAATGGAAAACTTAGAAGTAGCTACTTGGTTGCCAAGCGATGTCATAGATAATTTGAATAAAACTAACATCGTTAATTCAACTAGTTCTGATGACATACACGTTATCATAAGTATTTATAATAATAATGCTATATTTCAAGAATTAAATAAAAATCAACATGTAATAAATAGTAGAATAATAGAAGTTACTGTGCCTGGTTACCTAACTAATTTACAGAATCCTATTCCGTTAATATTTAAGGAACTTCGACCAAACATATTCGGTAGAGCTTGTGGATTCTGGGACTTTCATAGTGATAAGGCAATTTATAGTTCTTGGTCAAAACGTGGTTGTATTATGCGATCAAGAGTCGAAAAGTTAACTATATGCGAATGCGACCACTTAACGCACTTTGGACAGCTGTTGCATGTACGTGACGATGAAATTGCCAACGAAGATGTTAAAGAAGGTGGTCATATAAAAGCTCTAAATATAATAACTTTAGTTGGAAGTTTCACATCGTTGTTGGGTATTACTGGAATATGGATAACGGCGATGATATTTGATACTTGGAGAAAAAAAGCTGGTACAAAAGTTTTATTACAATTATCAACAGCTATATCATTACCTTTAGTACTAATAATTGTTTTTAGCTTAGATCATTCTATTATAATTGAGAATGAACTGAATCAATTTGTAGTTGCAACAGACAAATTGATATTGTGTGTTTTATTAGGAGCGTTGTTTCATTACGCTGTGCTTGCAAATTTTATATGGATGTTGATCACGGCTATTTTACAGTTTATTAGATATGTTCGTGTACTGGGCGTGTCGAGACCCTCAAGGTTTATGATGAAGCTTACATTGATAGGATGGGGACTTCCGTTCATACCTGTCATTACAATTTTGTGCTTAGATTACGAAAATTATATTCCTAATCCATCAATTAGTCGCTCTATATGTTATCCGAGTGGAATTTACATGATTACAGGCGTCATCGTACCTGTATGCATAATATTAATTATAAATGTAATTCTTTTCGTTTTAGTTATTAAAGCAATTTCTAAGAGCTCAGACATGCGCGCCACGGACAAAAGTTTAGTGTGTGCGCAATTCAGGTTATCTATATTCTTGTTCTTTCTATTAGGTCTAACCTGGATTTTTGGAATTATGTCATTTTCTGGTCGTTTAATTTGGTCGTACTTGTTTTGTTTGACATCAACTATACAAGGCTTTGTATTGTTCATATATTTTGTTATATGTGACCCTATCACAAGAAATTTGTGGATAACTGTAATGAAACCACAGTTTTCTTCGTCTAGAAATAGTGTTACAACAATAAGTAGTGGATAATTTGGTATTTGTGTGTTTTGACCGTCAATTGGTGTAAAGTATGCAGGATGTTACGCAAACCTATGTATTGTTTATCAATAAACACTGTCAAAAGAACCATCTAAAAATTGAGTTTCATTCTTAGAACAATCCTCTAACACATTAGCCGTTATCGAAGTTCTAATTAGAAGTATTTTTTCTCTATTAATATTTAGATTTTGATCTAACTTTCAAATAGTCATGGTAATAAAAGCTTCTGTTATTATAATGTTATTTATGAGTAAGTATTAGATTTAATTACATTTTTAATTGTTCTTAATTAATACTGTTGAACATGGTTGTGCTTACTTACAGTAAGGAATATTACCTCTATTTTCCAAAGTTACGAGTATAGTAAGTAATTGTTTTCATTGGTAACTTATCAATAATATTCGATTGGATTTAGTCACTCCTAGCAGAGGATGGAAGGCGGTACCAGCTAATCAAGCTGTGTATTCTCACCGTAGGCAAATAGTTTTACATAAGGAAGAAGAACAGATTGGCGATGAACTATTACCAAGAAGTAAGAAGCTACCATTACTGTTACATCTCTTGTTTCACCTTTTTTCCTATCAACTTTTTCGCACCCTTTACGTAAATTCTTACCATTTATTGTATTTACTATCATACAAATTGTTATTATAAAAGGGACTATGTATTATTGTATTTTAGTAAATGTTTCCTGTTTTTGTTGTTCTACATATTTTTATGATAAGAAATAATACTTTAACAAAGATTTTTTTCTTTTAGCTTCTATACACAGCACATTTAAGTTTGGGTTTTGTCGTCAAGACGCTACGGCAAGGGTATTTTTACGTAAACAATCATTAATCCACTTCCCAACGTGGCAGTCGACACAAGCCGATTATGTGTATGTAAGTAACTCTTTTTATTAAACTGCTACGTCAGGTTCCAGTCCTTGTAAGCTTGTGTTATTTTTTTTTTAAATACCGTAACGTAACTAAGTTCCATGCCTAAATATAACTAGGTACATTTAAAGGAACACTTGGTTCGTTGGTCAAAATATAGACACTTGCATTGAGATGAATGCTACTGAATTACTGATACTCTGTCGATGTATCTAATTGAAAAAATAAGTAACGTTAATTTCTTCCAAAATTATTCAAACTCGTCTTCAATTTGATAATAGAATATCACAAAAAAAAAGATATGTAACGATTTTAATGATCTCAAAATTATTTCACGGGCCATAAAAGGTTCAGTGTTACTGTTATGCGTAGGTATGTCAAATTGTATTATAAAATCATTTTGTTTCTTTATTTTCAGCTAATTGAAAGAAAACACTCCCAACGTTTTCGGCTACAATGTATCGTTTTAAGAATCATGGTGCCGTTGAAGTACTTGTTCAGAAGGAGTCGCCTCCCCATGTACTACTGTCAAGGGAAAGCCTACTACGTGATGTTCAATTTCGTCCAAGTCTTGGAAGTACACGAGTTCTTCCTTCACTACTCTTTGAATATGCCTGCCGATTTCTACTTCGAGTTCTACCACCCACAAGCATTGTAGTTTTATGTGTAATAAACTATAATATTTGAGCGAAATAAAAGTACCAAGTCACCAAAAGATGTTTTATTAGCCATTAATTTAATAATCACAATGTGATCAATACCTGCTATACCAATTTTTAAGGCCGAAAAAGAATCTATCATTTGATATACAAGTAATTAAATGCAAATGCTCTTTTAATATCTATTTAATCTAAAATAGTGATGACACCGCGTCGATGAATTAGCGGCACACAGGTAGATACTGCATAGCATAGGTAAAATGCTTAGGACATTATAGATTTTCACAAGGGATTACGCACCCCATCTTTAAGCAAATAATAGGTACTTCTGCTACTTCGAATCCCTGATTTGGAATAGATGCAGTGCTTAATCGCTCCAAAACTAGAGTTGTAATTGCTAATAGACTACTCAGATGGGTTATCGCTTCTGCTTTAGGTCAAAAACTCCCTATCACGTGGACATTCGGCGATGCCATGGACAGTTTTGATCAGAACAGCTGTGAATGGTCCCCTACACGAGGTCACCAAGTTGACCACCAATAGGGAAAGATCCACTAAAGTAAGATCGTAGGCGAGCAACGTTCGCCTACAACAGAACTTTGACGACTACGACCACTCTGACAAGAGTGTAACGACTGAGAAGAAGAAGAAAAAGATATAGACCAACATATGGGACTATTCCCAACATTCATTCCCACCGCTGCAACTTCTGTGTAGCCAGGACTTATAGCTTGACCGCCAATAAAAACCCAACCAGTGAGGTCAAGTTCATCCCGGAGGAAAGTTAAACTGACAGGTAATAAAATTGGATCCGCAACAAAATTAATCAGAAAAAAATAGGAGGAGTTCGAATTTAAGGTAATAAAGACCAACATTTTTTATGTAGTCACATCATTCAATATATCAATCCATCAAACCATAATCAAGATATTATTTAGAGACACACAAGTTAAAAAAAGTTACCCAACATGACTGCACCTTGCCCACTGTCCAGTGCCATTCTACTCCGCATTTCGTAACATTTAGTAACATGACACAAAAGCACTAAATGGTAAGAATATTATGCCAGGTATGATAACATCTGCAGAACAATGAAAAATTCCAATCAAGACTCGGGCCTCTTCAGAAAACACATCATCATTGTCGATACAACATCCAAACCAAATCCTCGGTAGAGTAAATCCATATTATGGACATAGTCAAATTCGTTATTTTGGTTGAATTACGTTAGTACCTTGCTGATATTTATGACATAAAAATAATACATACTCAAATATTTAAATCTTGATACTTGAAAGCTTTTAAAATATTTTTTTAGTTGCAAGTAGTAAAGTGTCGTCCATTTTGAGGGATTTCGCGATCTGCCACGATGACTTCAATCTGAAACCTGCCGATGGAGTCCTGAAGGAGCATACGTTCACGTGGCTTGGCTTCGTCCAATATACACACGGTAAGTGTTAATTTAACATAACTCGTAGTTATAACTAGTATTTATTTACTAAGGTTTTATGGGTTAAAAATAATAATACAACCCTTGAATCCTATCTCTATAAAAGTAACAAGGTATAACTTATCATTAATCTGTGGTATACTCGTAACTTAATTAACATTGAGTGAAAAAAATACCAGCAATGTAGGGTATCAATATTATCTTGCAATGATAACAGTTCTTTGAAATAATATTTTTCATTATAATAATTCCGCTGAAGCCATATAGACCAAGAGCTGGTGAACACCAGACCTACATCATTTTATAAAAGCTGAAAGTTGCCAAAGCCACGATGACCCAAACTTCATGTTTCACCAACACGCTAACCTATATTGGGAGCATACGCTGACAAACTTTCAGCTTTTATAAAATGACGTAGGTCTGGCGTTCACTAGCTTTTAGTCTAATATAATAATAACCTGATGATTTTAGTGACGACGGGTCTTCCGCACCACAGCAAGGCACCGCGTGTGGTGCTGATCCAGCGCCAGTTCGCGGTGGGAACTGCTACTGATATGCTGCACTTGCCGAAGAACTACAAACTGTAACGTAGATACGAAACTAATATTTACTTTACATAATCGCATTACAGAAAATAAAGTGACAATGATACTGAAAAAGCCGACTCAGTACCTAAACTAAAAATGTTTGGTCGAGAAGAAATAAAAGTTATTTTTTTCCTTCTAACCAAGTTTTTCTCAAGTTTTCCACAACCACATCATTTCTATGACTTCAATCAAAATCTCTTGTCAGAAAATGTATTGTTGAGATAACATTCATTGGTACAATCCGACTTACATTTGTATTTACTAGTAATTTTAATTGTATTGAAATCATGAATTTTACGTACGTCAATGGTACAAACTTATCGAATGGATGGCGCGCGACTTTTTTTTTATGCATGACAAGGCAGGTATTTGATCGCAATCGCATACAGACTAGCATGCATCCGCAATCGCATATCTGCCCTGTAAGTGCCTATTCACTCTCGCCTTAAAAAGGTTCAGCCAATATTTTACAGAAAAAAGTATAGATTTCTCTAACATTAATACAATTTTTAGGGGCAACGTAGTCTTCGGCGACTATGAGCGCGACGAAGAGGACTGCGGCCTCACACGGCTGCAGGCTAAGATCGGCTCCAAGTGCCCCCGCGCCTACATCGAGATGCCTATCGTGGATATCACACCTCATCCTGAGTTCTCCAGGTGATAAGACCATAAAATTTTGTTTGAAAAAATCGCACATTATTATGTTACATTACACCAAAAATATGCAATCTTTTTTAGGTTCGGTGTCGGAAACAGCCTGGCATTAGTCAAATTTCTACGACCTATGAGATCACGTATGTAGATAACAGCATGATTTTTGGCTTAATTTTCTTCTATCTTGGAATGTGATAAATAATAATGATAATCTTGAATAGTGACTGAGTTTCTTGCGCTGCTTCTTCTCAGCACTTACCCATATACTCGTAATGCCCCGAAGCAGTGGTTAATACTGAGACGTGTAAAAGTGCATTTTAAAAGCTTATTTGCAAAAATAAATGAGTTTTATAGACTGCTTCAGGTGAAGAAACAGAATAATTTGACTGCACAAATTCTCACGATGAAATAAAATATACTTACAGTGTATCTGGTTTATAAAATAGACGAGGGTCTTTATTATTTCAGAGTACGTGGTACCCATTTGTCTACCCTCGGTAGTTGAACGCAAGCGAAAACGGAGAAACAGAATGGTTTTTATGGTCGACTATATTAGCAGTAAGTTTGTATTTCTTGTAAAATTACTTGAGGCAAAAGTTACTTGTACACTTTTATATTTATCAAACTTTCTTCGTTTGATTTACGCAGCTGTGCCAAGGGACTTTGATACGGAGAGAATGGGCAAAAAGACATTAAAACTATTCACTCACAAAGATTGTCGAAGACATCGCATGAAAATGGTATGTTTTCTTCATATTTATAAAGAGTGGATTAGGGGAGGCCTATTATCAGAAGCTGAAAGAGGATAATGATAAAATAGTGTCTATGCCACTAATGAGTACGTAGATCCCCTTTTGGTAAAGGAGCCCAAGAGTTACTTACCTATAAATAACTCTGGTGTCGTGATCCTATCTTTCTTAAAAGAGTCTGCGATTACACTTTTTCTCTTTTTCAGAAGTTGAGGCAATTAATCATTTTAATTAAGTCATATATTATACTTTAATAAACGTGTATTTATTAAAGTTGCCATGTATTACAATAAAATATATCATGTAAAGTAGCACCCTACTTAAATGTTGAGTCAATTAGCAGCAAACATTGCATATTTTCTTTGGCTCTGTGCTCTATTCCCTGTATTTAAAAAATTATTTTACAGGTTTTTCAATCGGTATGTATTGTAGAGGCATAATATTACTTCTTTTGGCAGAAATTGGGCAGTGAAGGCGTAACCCACGTACTGTGCAGCTCAGGTTGTGGTGTGCGGCCTGGCGCACCCATCGTCAGCCACTCTCCCGAGGGAATGTTTGAGGTACAGTAAAGGTCGTTTAATTAGTTCTTCATGTATGTATATTTTGTATGATTTTCCGATATATCGACAATTCGACACAGTTATATACGCCACTTCACACTTCGCACCGAAGCAAATACAGGGTTCGTTTATTGGCTGAGATGTCAATCTAATAGGAAAAAAATGTTTACAGTATAAAAGTTGTGAAGGTTACCTACAACAGGATAGTTTCAATAGACAATCCTAATACATATTCATGGAGCAGTGGTACCTGCAAATCTGTTTAGTTTACACTGTTTAGGAGACATACGCCGACAGTTTAAGCGCCTACAATTATTTCAAATTCAATTTCCCAGGTATTGGGCATTGCTGCCGGTGGCGCCGCCTGCTCTCGGCGCTCGAGCCGTCGTCGGCTCAACAGTGAGCCTCCACTATACATTGACGTGTACCCCTACATCACCTGGATCATCAACGTCATCACCGCGCATGTGCTACCACGGCCTTACTCGCACAACTTTAAACTGGTTGAAGGAGGATCAAGTGAGTTCAGAGGATCTTATATGGCAAAAAAATTGCATGCTTGATAATCCTCGCAAGAAACCTGAAATATTTTCGAAGCACATTTGAACTAGACCTTACTTAAACAGGTCAATTCATTCTAGGATTAAGATATTTGACTCTACAATACAAAACATAATTATGTATCTATGTATAAATTAATCTAAAAATACTGATCTATAGATAGTAGATAGGTAAAATATTTCCCCTACATGCAGGCGTGAATGTAATATCACAAAATTTCAGGCATAGCAATAAATAAAGGCAACTACTTGAGGGCCAGGAAGGTCCAGAAGGCTGGCTGGAGGGCGCGGACCTACGTCACGGGGAACGCTTGCTTCAAGAGCGAGAGGCGGCAGAGGGCCAACTCTCTATTTTACTCTGAAAAGTTCGAGGTCAATGCCGACCCTCCAGCAAAGCTCAATATCTTCATGAAGGTAAGGTAAAGGACAAAGTGGTTCTTATTTGGTACCACGGAATTTTACAGTCAGCGTCAAATAGTTCGTAGCCAAAAAGTTGACAACAGCCTTATTCTCAATTGTAACAAAGACGCGTTGCGAACTATTTGACGCTATGTCCTACTTACTACATACCTACATAATTAAATTGATGGTGAATTAAGCTATCTAGTGTCATTTTTAAAATCTTCTTTACATTTTAAAAATAATTTATTTAATGCATTAAAGCTTACCTTTACGTTATCTCATCTTTAGCACCATTAGCCTGCCTAAAAACACGATAAGTTTTACCTACCCGATTATTTTTAATTTATTGAAAGTGAACGAGACTTGTATACTTAATATTATTTTAGTGTCATTTTTCTCAACTTTACTTATGCCTTACCCAGATCTCAGCAGGCATCGAGTGTACCATCATGTGCGCACGGCTGCTGATGCCGAACCGTCTGGCCACTCCGAAGATCGAGGGCGTCGGAGGCTACAACATCTCGGTCGAGTTCACGACGGAATGGTTCCCCTACACGTTCTACTTCTCCCTCGGGCTCACAGGAAAGAACACCACGGAAAAAGATTTCCTGGAATGGATCGGTGAACGAAAACCAGGATTTTGGTGAAGTGTTATTTTACTATATTAAATTATATTATTATGTAGTTTAAAAGTCGTTTTATTAATTGAATGACAAGTTCCTGGCGCTCGAGGTTAAGAAAATAGGTGAATTCCTTAACAAAAATGATAGAGCATTTTGTTTGAACATATTTTATTGCTTCTAGGTAACTTTTGGAAATAATATTGGTAGTTTGTTCAAGGTTCTTATGAGTTTAATCAGTTTTTTTAAATAAAACGCTTGGAACTAAAAATTTCGCTATTTTTAATATTAAATTCAATAACAGTTTATGCAGATTCGACAGATATTGTGTCTTCGTCATTTAGGCCCCTGTCTTCGTTGCCAAAACCTGGGAAGCTTGATGGTGGAGCAGGGGAAGGGGAGTTGGGAGGCTGCGTGGGAGCGGGATTCTGTGGGAAAAGTGGGTTGGAAGGAAACTGGGGGAATTGCGGTAGAGATCCTTGGGGAAACTGGGGGAAAGACGGCACGCCTTCTGGTAACTGTGGGAACTGGATTTGAGGGAAGCTAGGGAACGTGCTAGACGGCGGTTGCTGAGGTGCTGAAGGTTGGGATGGAGCGGGACTGTCAGCCGGCTGCTGGTCTTGCTGTTGTTGCGGTTGTTGCTGTTGTTGTGGTTGTTGTTCTTGTTGTGGTGCGTCAGCAGAGTCTACTACTGCTGTGTCAGCGTCTCCTGCAGGATTCTCGGGATAGGCGGGAGCACTAGGGGCTTGTCCCGCTGGAATGCCAGCAGGGAAACTAGGAATGCCAGCAGGAAAACTAGGAATGCTACCCACGGGAATTCCAGGTGCAATAGGATTTATGGATGGGTAGAAGATGCTTTCGGCCGGGAAGTATCCACCACTGACGGGGTAGTACGCTGGCTGAATTGAAGCGAACTGATTCAACTGTGGTACCTGGTACGCGAAGTTAGGTTGTACTCCCACATGGTACGATGACGGCAACTGGAAAAACATAAGCCAATTATTTGTGAATCTTGATAATAGTCGATAAAAAAAGTCTTAAGTTTCTTGGAGACCAGTTCGTTAATTGAAGTCATCGCTTTAAAGAAAATTTTCAAACCTACAAAATAGTGGACTACATAATCTAATCTAATACTAGAACAGAAGTTTTTACAAACTTACGTTGTTAATGTACTGCGTGGTGGAGTAGGCAACAGTCTTCGTATGCGCGGGGACGACAGTCCTGACAAGGTGCGCAGGCGCCGCGTAAGCGACGTGCGCAGCACCGGGCCACGCCACCGCGCCACCCGCCGCCACCGCCACCGCTGCGGCCGCGCACGTCAACAACAAGAGAACCTGGCACACAAACAATTATAGCCACGATAGCCGAACGGTGAATGGGTCGGACTGGCCGACTCGAGATCCGAGGAACGCGGGTTCGAATCCCGCTCGACTATTGTGGTGAGCCCACTCGTAGCACAAGCATATTTAGCTTAGCACGACGGGCTAACGGGACTATTAGTAATTTGTGCAATAAAAATGCTAATAATCTTTAAAAAAAAAACAAAAGTTTTAAACTTAGGCTGAGTTGCACCATCTTATTTTAACTTTAACAAACGTCAGAAATCTGTCAAACTCCATACAAAAATCACCGGTTATTGATATAGTTACGGTCAAAGTAAGTTGGTGCAACCCAGCCTTAGTATGTGACTGTTAAAATTGATTGTCATTTAATCCAACTTGGATGTACTTAGGTGCACCTAAATCCAACTTTCAAGTACCAATAATCTGAAAGTAAACTACTGTAGACTCTTTGATCACAGAACTGAAACCAATGTTTCTACAACAACAGCTCTAACGAAGCATTTAGTATCAAATTGATACAGTATCAAGTACCTATCAATGTTTTATGAATAAGACAGTCTTTAATCCAATGTCCAAAAACATGAAGCCATTAGTTTATTTTGTATCTAATTGTGGCTACTGATGGAATTAATCTTATACAGGGTGTCGCTTTAAGTATGTATTAAACAAAAAGAAAAGACTCTACGGCTCAAATGATACAATTTTCCACATTGTAAGTACCTACTTTTACACCACTAATCAGCAAATTAGTATAGGGAAGTAAATTTTATTTTTGAGAATTTTGGATATTGTTCTTGTAAGAAAAGTTGTTTCATTTGAGCAGTAGAAATCAATATTTTTTGTTTGATTCATACCTAAAGCAATATCCTGTATAATGAGACACTTTATAATCATATTATCATCTTGTCTGCACATTTTAGATACATTTATAAACACTTATCTATTTCAGAACGAAATGTCGTTTATTTACATAATCACCAAATCACAGTTATCCTTATTTACATGCACCAAAATAACGTTAAAAATAACACAAATGAAGCACTATTTTTTTACACTCCACTTATTATCAAAACTTAACCGAGACAAAGCATTTATCATAAATGCCACCGCTTGATACAAATTAAAAAGTTGTTTTAATTTTAATCGGGATGAAATTGAAGGTTAATCCGTACCTTCATGTCGGAGGCGCCTGAGAATCGCGATCTGTATGATACGCGCGTTAATACCTGACGACTCTTATATACCAAATGGTACTCCGCCCACGGCCCCGGAAAGAAAGTCACTAGATGTGCCTGCAGTCAAATTTGTATGCAATCTCAATGCAGGAGATGTTTATTGCACAACACATTCGCAGAATAAAATTACCAAAAGACTGACATTCGGTAGTCAGGACACTTTAAATACAACCAAAATTTAGTTCGATTGTAAATCAACGTTTAGATAATCACCAGTTTTGTTAAAATGAGGACTGGTTCATTCAAGTTTTGTGCGTCTTAAGAATTGCAACTTTTGAGTGATATTTACACCCACGTTGCATACTTTGATTAAATTAATAAAAATAAACATTCAGATCATGTTACGATTATAAAAGAAAAAGGAAGTAACTGTACCTAATCGTGTCTAATTTAAGTTCAGTTACATAAAATATCTAAGCATTATTTATTATTAATTCCATACAAAAAGTATTTAACTAGAAGTTTACAAATGAAATACATTACCACATCTAGATCTACTAGATCCTTGGTTAATCGAATAATAACTCCAGGTGAGCCTTCGTAAGTTATTTATTTGCACCGAATTGCTTTACAAGTTTTTATGTTTTGTACTTACTTACACTGTTACTTAGTACACAATATAAAGCAGTATCGTGCTCACATTTCCTTTTAAAAATATACATGTAAGATAGAAAAGTAGAATTAGTCTTTTTTGGCTTCTTCTCCGATTGGGGGGAAGAAGAACTCCACAATTTTGTCCTTGAAGAGTTGGACCAGTGGTTTGGGTACTTCGTGATGGAAGGGATGGGCACCCCCCACGTATACCGAGGCCCACATGTTCTTGAACATCTGCAGGAAGAGGCGGAGCACCTTCACTTGAGGCATCTTAGCTGCGTCAGTGTACTTACCTGAAAAATACGAGATTTCAAGTTATACGAGAGTAGAGCTATAGAGCTGAAAAAAAGAGTTATATGAACACTTTAAACCTGAAATAACGCACGCTGGTAGCTAGATATAGATTTTTTTTTTTTTTTAATATCTTTGGACAATCTCACACAGCGCCATCTAGCCCCAAAGTAAGCAATTAATATGCTTGTGTTATGGGTGCTAGCTTAACGGATATACCTACTACTTATATACTTTTTTTTTTAATACATACATATTATACATAGTAACACCCAGACCCGTCACAGAAATTAAAATTCATCATTTCAATTTCTGCCCGGCCGGGAATCGAACCCGGGACCTCTCGGCATAGTAGCCGGCCGACAATATAATAGTACCTTATGTATTCGGAATTCGGATGATTTTTATATGAGCTCACGGTGAGTGCAGTAAAGAAGTACGAGTAGCTTACGGTGATTCATTTATAAATATTTGTTATTTAATTTTAATTACTAAAATACGTTATAGCCGTAATCATATCCTGTTATTTTGGTAATCGCAATACCTAATAAGCAAAGCTTCTAGTACTTAAAGTATTGGATTGAAAGTTTTAAATAAAATAACCTACCTCCACTGCTCTGCCTTTTCACTCGCAACTTTGTAGATTCAAGTGTTGACATGTTCTTTTCTTCTAAGTAAGATACGTGATTATGTGACTCTTTTGTTTCATACGTCCCTCCTGTGTCGTTACTGACATCCTGAAGGATTTCCTGAAAATCCAAAAACCGATAGAACACAGAATTTAAGACCCCTTCACTCTATTAAGTTCAAAGAAGAATAAGTAACACAGATTTTTTGTTAACATCACTTTCAACTATATATCGGTAAACAAATAATTTATTTAGTACCTGCGTAGTGTTATATTGGAGTGTTTTAAAATTTAAGGAAATGCAATTGGATAAATTTACGAAACACAGCAGCCAAAAGACAGCACTATTCTTTGAATATGCCATTGTTTTTATACGCGAGTTCAATACGAAATGGCACTCGTTTGAATCGTTTTCAATAATGAAAATGTTTCACGGAGACTGGAGCATTTATAATAGTGAAAAGCTTATAAACATTATATTGTTTAGTAAACCGAGCTAATACTTTATAGGTTACGCAACGAACATTGGTAATGAAATTACTATTTTATTTGTACACCTACGTGTTAATAAGTAGGTAAACAATAGAAAGTCGTACGTATCAATCGTGAAGTTTTAATCCTCACCAAGGTACCTTATTTAATTGAGCTTGAATTTACCCTTTCTAAACCTTTTCTTGATTAGAGCCTTATAGATATAAAAGTTTCGTATTAGGTACAAAACAACGCTCAAAACTCGAGTCAATCTCAGTTATAGATTCTGTCCTGTGATTGATCTGAATACTGAATTAATCAAACAGCCTCAATCCATGCTTGAAATTGAATAGTTATGGACTTCGTTCTGTAAACCGCTCTTACGAGATGCTTAGATTCATTCGAACCACATAAAGAATTAGGTATACAATGTTCTTTCGCGGGGAATTTTCGGGGTGTAGTAGTAGGTAGGTACGAGGTCCGTCATTGGTGTCTCATTTACCCTGCGATCATATTTTTCCAAGAACCACTAGTCAAAGGAACTTCCACGATAACCGGTTTAAATATCCTGATTCCTGACACATGTTCGAACGAAGCACATCAAGTTTAACAGTGTTGCTTCTTATTCATCTGTAATAGGTTCTAATTTGCAACAAAAATGTACAGCCTGATGTGCTGTCTGTACATAGATACGATCGTGTGCTCAAGGTTACCCCACATCTCATTGAAGATCAGCTCTGATGACATTTGCTACTAGCTGCCGGCCTCCGAAATCTCTCGCTGACATTTCGAAGAAACTAGATCAACAATAATAATTGAGTACGGGACGAGATCACTGTAAATGTGGTCTTGTTTGAAAGTACACTGACCGAAACAAATACTACGACCTTTACCAATGCTTTGCATTCATTATTCACTGATTGTAGTAATTTAGTCCGGTTTTATTTTATATTTTTATCAGAACATTATTCTAGCTAATTATTCTCATATTTCACGTGTTTATGCTTTATGTTCTGTTTGCATATTATTATAATAATTTAGTAATAATGTAACCTTTTTCTATTAATTTGTAACTGTTGCGTAGAACTGCATCATTGAAAATGTAAAAACTTTTTAATCCAGAAAATCTCAAAGTTTCAACTGGCCAGACAGACAATAAAAAAACTTGAAATTAACGTTTGACACTTACCATTACCAAACTGTCAAAAATTCTCAATTTGCTTCAAAAATATCAAAGTTATTTTTAAAACTTGTATTGCAAATCAATAATGAAATGCAGTATTATTGTAAAGAACGAACTCGTCTTATAAACCAAAACAAACTTTTTTGTAATGAGTAAGAAATGTCAGGTGAGTATCACACTCAAGTAATTTACTAAATTGGCCTTGATTAAATAAAACTCTTTATTAAAAATATATCTCAAGTCTTTACATTCACAGCTACTGATTCATCGGCGCAAACTCAAGAAATCAAAAAGCCAAAACGGAAATGTAAGTGGTTATATTTTTTCAAACTTATAAAATAATGAGACAATCGTAACTAGTAGTTATCTCATATCTGACAAATGCTATGTAATAAAAGATTGCGATTACCAGATACTTTGCCTGCCAATAGCTAACTCTGCCCAAGACCTGTAAAATAAATGAGTCTATCTGACAGAATATAAGTTTCTATTAAGCTATCAGCAAGTTTATTCATTAAAGAAAGTTATTCAGCGAGTGATGCCCTTATTAGCCCTTTATTTTTTAAACATTTTTTTATTATTCAAAAACTATGCTGGTTGAAAAATTATTTTGTTATCAAAAGTCTGGCATCGACATCAGCAAACATTTTACTGTTAGAAAAAAGTTGTAAATTCGCTCTACTCGAAGTTTCCGAGCACGTAATATCCCTAAACAACTGTTTACATTTTCTTTTTGAAAGTTTCTTCAGAAAGCTATTTCAAGGCGTACCCAATATCAGATAGTAACTAAAATCATGACTGAACTGAAATAGAAAGTGTTTTTTTTTTTTACTTTAAAGGTTTATGAAACTGATCAATATTCGTTATTTTCATGAAAGAGTAATATTTTTATTAATAAAAATCATCTTATTACGAAAGCAAACCTCGAATATTACGATTTATTAGTCTAATAAAATTATTCTTCATAAATAATGTTCATTAAAATTAATAGAAGATAACAACATTTATTTAATATTAATAGCAGGTATGTAACTAATCAATAAATAGCGTGTTGTGTTAATTAAATATCAACATTAAATAAAATACAATCACTTTCGCATAAACAATTCAATTGCAACAAACATTATCATACATAAATACTCATATTAATCTCATAGAATCACCGATCAAACAGTCCGAGTGCAATTAATCGAGTCAATTTCAGTGAGTAGGGTATTTGTTAATGAGCGCGGGCGGGAGGAACTGATTTTCCGGCGCGCGACCCGCCCCCCGCCGCGCCGCCGGCTTTCCTTTCAGGCCGCTAGTCGGCGCGCGGCCGCCGCGTGGCGCTGAGCTCGATCCACGGCTCGCACACTAACACACTGTTTATTTACCACGTAGGTCTGCTCTCAACAGGGAACACAACGCACCCACACACGTATGTCCCAACATTTAGTACTACTCATTTTCATTAACATCGCAAACCACTAATCACCGGCAGCAATGTCAACACACACGTTGCCATGTTTTGGCCTACATATCCGATGCAGTTCCCGAGTTCCGTTAAGCATTGCATTCGATTTAATCTCATTTCGGGTTACGACATGCTAAATATACCTACCTTGCTAGCTAGTTACATCAATCACGCACTAGAAAGTGACTTGTGTACATAAAGAAATTAGTCTTACTGCAATAATCTACATACAGCATTAAATGCTACGCTAAAATACTATTGTTTTTCTAATTTTCAAGAATCTGTAATTAAAACTAATTACTAATGAAATCCTACTTTGAAGTATTTTGTCAAATTTTCACCATTAAATGTAATTGAGACTAGACGTTTTAAAAAAAATTAAAGTCCAGTTGCACCGCCTTAACTTTAACCGCAACTATAACCATAACCGGTTAGGTTGGTTGGTGTTTTTTTATGGAGATTTTTTATGGACTTTTGACGTTTGTTATAGTGTAGATAAGTTTTTTACGTCAGTTTTTTTTTCAGCAACATATCGTATGGCGGACGAGACGGCCACGGACTGCCTCTTCGAAAGGCTGCGGCTCCACCAGCAGCGGGCGCCGGACTCCACGGAGGTGGCGCGCGCCATCACCGCCCGCATCAACTCGCGGCTCACGTCTCATGGTGAGTGACAAACGCTTTTAATCAAGCCCCTACCCTAGCCAAGGAGAGAAACAATTACTTAAAATGCTGCAGTGAACTGTTAAAGTGTATTTGCCATCGCAAATTTAGGTTATCGAAGAAACTAATTTTGTCAGGTTATGTATGTGCCAAAAAGTGCGTTTGGTGACAAGGGTTAAACCACACACCACAGCATACAAGGTGCGTTTGGTGTCACTACAGGCTTTTTTCAACACCGGAACAAGTTTCGAGAGTCCAAAAGACAAAAAATAAAATAGTAACAAAGCTAAGCGCTGATATCGCTAATCTATAGGGCTTATGAATTTCATTTCTAATCAATTCACACCCACAGTCAATGATATTTTTAAAAGCAGCTGCTAACTACTAAAAGTTACTCTGTCAAGTTGCGAGCACCCGCTATTTGCCAAAAACTGAAGTGTCACCAACCTGGTACATGAAATTCACTTCTTGTTACCAATATTAACTTAGTTTATACCTAAATAGTCTGAATTTCCCATCGCAATAGCGACGGAGGTCACGCGAATCTGCAATTATTCACCATAGTCGTTATCTTAGATCCTTACGGTTGATTGATTACTTACATTTTTATTTAGGCTCTATTAATAGGACGTCTGCCCCAGTTTAGTAGAGACAAATCGTGAACACATTCATCTTTATTCTAAGTAGGTAAACTGTGTCGCTATTGTCGTAAAGTCTCATTGAATATTACGCGCGATGCTATAAAATGGACTATTTATAACAGCGGTAGCTAGATTTCGTGTCAATTTTGATTCCTTGGATATTCGCTTGTGAATCGCTAATTCGAAGATAAGACGGTTTTGCAAATTCTCGCTGTCATAATGCGACCAATTTCATAAATTAACTACCTACCTTATCTACCATTTTAATCATTTTAAAACTATTCAAAAGCTTCGCGACACGAACTACACCATTTTAGAACCCGACCCGAACATAATTTACAAAATCGATTTCCTGATTACATGTTTCAAGGTTGTCTGATGCTGATCGTAACTTGATGTAATTAATACCGATAATCCTGGTACAGTTGCACATCAGTCTCTACGCTTTTGCAAAGTAGCACCTATTACAAGTGTGGTAAGAATCATGCCACATTGTTTATCATCATGTGCCTATCTTACGGACTTACCATTATCAATGTTGGTTGATTGAATGAATGCTGCATTCGATGTTTGACAACAAAATTGTTTTGTTGTCGTTACGTAAGTTTTCGCGGGCTGTAGTCAATACTTGCGTATACGATCGGTCATAAAACGAACATTTGGCAACGGGCCTCAACGTTTTGCTTTTGACGGGATCTCTCAGTGGCGTCTGTAGTTGATCCGGGAAAGTGCTAATTGAGCTATGTTCTCTGGACGCACTACAAGAGTTCCCTTGTTCCCTATTCAACTACGAAAATGTTCAGATGCCAATTTTTTTTTAAATACGCTATGTAAAATGTCAAAAATGAAGATAATTAATTGAATAATTAACTAATATACCTTGCCAGGTGATTCGCATTAAAATCAATATCTATAGTACGCCAATGTTTTTAATCTTATTTTAGCGCCGTCGTTGAATGTCTTTATTAGAATCGGTATGAAGACGAATTACCAATCATCGAATTGTATGTAGTATCAACTAGCATATTAATGAATTATCCAATACGTGAACTGTGACAGGAACTTGGCAAGCCTGAACAATAAAAGTCAAAAAATTTGGCAGATGCTCATTATCATCATTTGCATTCAAAACATAACTGGACTTGCAATAAAAATACACTTATAAGATCAACATCATCACCCTTTTTATTTCACCAGGGGCAAATGGAGAATTTGGCCTACACTCCCCACGCGCGCTGGGCAAACTTGTCTTGAAAGAATAAGTTTCACTCAGTTTCACTAATGAAAAATAAACTCGCGTGACTTCCCGAAATTAATAGCTTTTAGAGGCCTTAAAACTTTGTTTCAGTGGCCAAATAACTTTCTTTATCAATGTCTACTTTTAAATGACTTCCTAAACTACGCAAGTTCCACAAGGCTTGCCCTAATTCTTTGCAATTGGTGCCAGCTAAGAAACAACGTAACTGGTACCTACCGAACTGTTAAAAATGTTTATTAAAATTTCATATTTTAGACTTCAATATTTTCTAAAAATTAGAAATGATAGCTGAAATCGACTTACCTTTTTATGCTACCAATAGGTAGCTGTGACTACGGTTACTAAAGTTCATGAAATAATTTGCAATGGAAAGCCAGTCGGGGTCAGAAAATATTATCCTTGGTTAAAGTTTCAGAATAAAGATAGTATAAATAAGATTAGAATGAAAAGAAGTAAGTGTCCGTAGGTATTAATAACGTTTTTGTGTATTTAGAAACATCGTATTTATTTTACACATTGTAGTAGACAAAGTGACGGTGTCGTGCCACTCGCCAGTTACACCCTGAAATTGAAAGAAAAACCGCAACGCTACGAGCGATACCCCGTGCAGTAAATAATGCCATTCATGAAAGACTCACGTTTCGTTCCGTTTTGCAATAGTAGTAATAAGCTGACATTCTCGTATTCTGGAACGATGCACATGCATGAGAGCGATTTAAACTCGAGCAAAGAATTTAGGCTGTTAGGATCAATTTCTATATTTAGACCATCTTACGATAAAAGTAATATTCTTATATATCTTTGGAATTACATAAAATATCTTGTTACTAAACGTTTTTTACTAATCTGTATTTGTTGTAGGTTAAGAAAGGAGTCTTGACAATTTTTAATTATGCAATGCAATACGCACCTACATAGAAAAAGATGAATTGCACGAGTTTTAATAAGTAGTAAACACACATTAAACGCACGTATCAAAACAAATTAAGTAGGGTTCCAATTTAGCGCTTGGCCATGGCAACAAGACGAGTAGCGCGAGGGGGCCACCCCAACCCTATACACTAAAATCATAATGTGCTTGTGCTAGCACCGTATAGTTACAAAACCTAGCATGCATTCTCCTTAATTACGAAAATACTTATTCCTTTTAAAAGAAAATTACAACAAATACTAAAGTCCTCCTTTACATTTTGTGCCATTCCATTTTAGTTCATTCACTCAAATTACTACAGTACAACGAACTTGAATTATTATGCTTCTATTACAAATATTTATAATAATAGAAAAAATATTATACCTACACAAGTAAACAATGTAGTCGTTGTCGTGCAAACTAATTGTGTCATATATTTTATCACAAAAGTACTAAATGAGCGTCATTTGTTTAATTAAACTACAATACTTCTGCCAAAATAGTCGCATATTTTCGTTATTTATGTTGCAGGCACCAACAGCAGTCATAAATCTATCTAGAAACCATTCCAAATAAAAACACAGCCATATCAAATTAGCCAGAGCATTCCGATGGCAACAAAAAGTATCGGCATGAACTTTCGACTCAGAGGTGTCGTAGAGGACACACTTATCTTAATGGGACTGTTCACCGGTCAGCGAAGGACGAAGGTGCCCTACGCGATCGATGCCTATGTCTGGTAAACAAAAACAGGCTATACTTGACGCTACATTACCACAATAGTGCTTGCATAAATTTGACAGTGGACTAACCCAAGCTAGATTGAGAGCACACTATCCACACTATAAAAGATAAAATACGATAGAGTCGAAAAAGATCTATGGAAATAATATACTGTTCACTTTGTGTAAATTAATTTACCACTCCACTGAAGCATTTATCATAAATATGTCGTAAAATATAATGACATGAATATATTAGTCTGCCTTGTAAAACTTAGGAAGCTTTCAAGCCAATAAACTCTACGTTATAAAGTGGCCGATGAGCCGACAGATAATTTGTTACCGCCGCTTTGAAGGAACACTAAATCAGGGGAAGGTGTCATTACTGCGGCAAGTTTGCGTGTTCTGGATACATATTACCCGGTTTTGGTGCATTGGGCCCTCGGCCAAAGCGCCTCGTGCCGCCGACGAAGTGTTACCATTAATTTATATAGGGAAATGAACTTATTGTTCCGGTACTGATAGTGCCAGGGGGCAGCACTTGCCACCCTTGTGGCGGCAGCGTCACAAAGGTAAACACTTCGGGCGTGTGTACGCAGTGACAATGCGTGGCAGGCGCGAGCTTTTATTATAATTTGGTATGAAGCAGAATTTATAGCCACCGACGTTCGTTTGTAATGAATTTACATCCACTTTAATAAAAGGGTCTCTGTATTTTATGCATATAAACTATAAACATTGAAAATTACGACTGACTGAAACATTATAAATAAACAAATTAATGGAGCTTTAAGATCAAAGTGCGTCACTAGTTTGATTTTAACGTATAATTTTAACATCAGACAAATTATTACCGGAGATGAAAGACGTTTTGATATTTTTTATCTAACGTAGCTTAATATTAACAAATTTTATAATAGTTATAGAATTAAAGAGCTTAACGTAGTGATTTTTTTTATGTGATAAGAGGCAAACGATACTTTGAATCTTCTTGATTGTAGTGAGTCTTAGATTCGATTCCTGGTCGGTCATACAATTTAGACACGTTATTCTGGTCTTGGTTATCTTTAGATGTTTTAAATATCAAGCAACAATGGCACTGATAGCAGATTCGTACTACCAACTGATAATAGGCTTCCGAAAGGATTCGTATCGCTTAAACAACTTCGACTGTAAACATCTGGAGTAATGAGAAAACGTATAAAACAACTGAGCAGTAATTATAAAGTCGGCGTTATTTTACGTCGGCGATTAAAAATGTTTACACGAGCCGCGATCTATTTTTGCGGGCGCATAAATCAAGCGTCGCCTTGACATTGGTCGGCGGGACTCCCGCGCATGTTGCCGCTGTCACTCCACTCGCCCTTATGCATTGTTTGTGTTGTCAAAACGTGATAATGTTGCAATATTGGTTGCAAAGTAAAGATTTGTTTACAATACTCAGATAGATGTAAAGGGAAAATTGAAAA